ATCCATAGATCAGACATCAATCCATTTAATTAAAATAACAACAAACATTAACATAGCTTCAACAATTACCTTTCTTTTTTTTGGTTTATTTTTCATATTTTTTTTAATCTGAAAGAACAAATAAAACAATTTAGTACAAATTTGGATTGTTGACATCATTAGTGACAGGACAATAACTTTTAATGCTGTTTGACATCCATGGACATTTATTCATCTCAATCAAAGTTGTTAATACCTCATGTCAAACTACTATGACATCAACATCTTACAGACACTTATCCATGCTTACAACGTTTAAATCAATCAATAATAAAGTATATACTCTACACCCTTAGGACAATAATAACCAACAACAGCATAATTCCTTTTCTTCATTATGAAGGTAATTAAGTTCAAGAAACAATTTGAAATGAAACATCAATGCACTTACAACTTGAACATATTTACAATTGGCGATAATCTAAAATCAAAAGATGTTACAAATTTTTTGTTTAAAAACAGTACCAACAATTCATAGTTGCATCACTAACAAAAAACAATAGCAATAACAAACAAATAAAACACAGCTATTTTGGAAAATACAACTATACAAATACTTACAACAAAACAGGTTTGCTGATGCAAAAAAATAATAATAATAAATAAATAAATTCTCTCTAGTCTTTAGTCAATTTCAACAACTGGATATCTAAAAACAAATGCAGACATAGAGTTCAATAAATTGACAATAAATTCAATAATTTCAAATAAATTCAATAAATTGACAACTACTAACAGATTCTTAAGGCAACATTATTTTTAACTCCACAAACTAGAGTCTTATCACATACAAAATCTTTATAGCTAATAAAACACAAAGTCTCAATTTCCAAAGATTTTGGTTCAGGTCAACACCTGTCAGATTTTATCATTCAATACCTCAAAACATTTAGCATTACAGCTTCCTTATTTAAACGGTTTTTATTCATTAATAACAGTAGAAATAACAAAGATTTCCTCATAAAAAATACAATAATGCAAACACTGCACCTTTTATTAAAAAAAGCGGGGAAGGGGGGCTGTCCTACTCAAATCTGAGTGTGACAAACCCCCCCTTCAGGATAACATTGTCGACCACTTCTATCTCTCTAAAATGATAAGACATAAAAGCATATCACTAGTATAATAAAACCTCATGTCAATTAAATTGAACAAACTGCAGCTATCACCAAGTGAATTGACAACACCCACACCCATTTATATTGCAAGGACGAAAAAATAAAGCCTAAAATATCGTCACCAAGGACTCTGGTCCACTGGTCCGTTTACAAAAAAGACTTCGAAGACAAATTTTACAACAAAATATCGAATCTAACAAAATATTCCTTGTTCTTCTTACATAGGCTTTTTGGAGAGTTTCACTTTTACACTAAGCTCGGTTAGTGAAAAACATCACATCATTTTTTATTCTAATGAAATAGGATAGTCCAGTTTCCTGCAACTATGATGTCTTTTAGCATCATTCAAAAATAATAGAATATCAACAATAAAATGATACAAAACAAATGAACAAGAATGAACAAAGTTTAGCATGATTGCAAAAGGTCCTACATTGCATCTCCAAATGAAAATACATCACTGAATCGTGAAAATGAAATACTAATCACAGTGGCCCGTCACTGCAACAGCAATACCAAATTTCACAGCACACAATGAAATCACGTTGTGTATTCCAAACGCTATAACCTGTTCATAATCCCTCTCGCTCCATTTTCAACTTGTTCTCCACAATGTGTCATGCACCATTTTAATGAATATTGCCTCTACCAACAAATATGGGACAAAACTAATGAACTAATGATCTCACAACATCATGCATAACAAGGTGTATGTGTGAACTCTGCATACATGGTCTTAGTATTAACAGCCGCAGTTGTCCTGTGGCTACAACAAACAGAATTTAAAAAGATGATTGTAGGTTGGAAGAGGCATGTCACATCGCCAGAAGAAAGGACATTTTATTTAATAGAGACAGTGGTAGAACTATACCATTTAGTTACCTAAAATTGCTAGGCAATTAATTATTGCGCGCGCTTTTTGTTTTGATGGTGAAGTTTTCATGTTATTGTAACGAGATTCATTGTAACCCTGAAGATGACCGCGTACGTCGAAAGCTAKGTTTTATTTGTTATTTTATTAAAGTTTGATGGACTATAAAGATAGAATTATTTACGAACATAACCCGAAATATACTAAATGTTATTCGTGCAAGAATATTCCTAGATGAATAACTTGGTCATCTAGATTTCAGAAAGCAAAAGTAACCTTTTCCTCAGGATCATTCCATAGTTTCCATAGTCTCTGATTTTCATACGATCGTATATTTCAACTTAAGATTACTTTAGGTAAAATGAATGATATCCATTGTTTTCTATGTTTCAAACTACAGTATGGAAATGCATGAGAATTCCTAATTTACACAGTCTTGTTACGTACYCGCTGGTTATAAGTGTTTAAAGATGCATGGGTAATCGGACTCTATTGTTGTAGGAAGGATTGGACCTGTATGAAATGCAGTTCCAGTATAATATATGA